CTACGCTCGGGTTGCCGCGTGAACGCGACCCCACAAAAGGGGGCCGGCCAAAAAAGAGTAGACATGACGGTCGCATACTTATTTCTTTTACAAGAATGTACAGTACTGTACTGTACTTCCTAATGTTGCTGAGAACTGTGATATTACTGCCCAAAAGCAAGTACAGTAGATATTGGACAAGGAGATGATATGTTGGTTAAAAGATGAAACTGCAGCGTGCGTGGACTCGGGAAGCATGAGATATCCTATATTTCTGTAAAGCGACATCTACCTGTAACAGTCGAAGTCACAAGGAAGACATCTTCCTGCTTGATGTTAGGTGTCTTGTCTTTACTTCTTAAAGCCTATGTCGAGCGATGCAGGTTAAATTTTCCCAGTGCTGTGGTGTTCAGTGTACATACAGGATAGTGCAATATTTGATTTGGTTTGTGCTCGTTAAAATGGATAAGTTTTAAGTTTGGTAGCTCAATTTATGTGCTTAGCTTGTGCCAAATGAAGGCAGGTTGTTTACCGTCATTGCTGTGCTGCTATCAAATATATTTTGAAATGTGAACGAAACACACACATTCTGTTCTGTTCACACACTCTGCATTGTTCTGTTCTGTTGAAATGTGTGCAGATTTGTTTATAAGGAATAAAAAACCACCATTGGAACACCTCGTCTGTAATTAAAATACTACTGCTGCTGGAGGCCAACTCGTAAGGTCGTACCTGACCATAAATGAGAACTTACATGTTATTTCCTTAATTTATAATTTTGGAATCAATAAGGCACTTTCGATTCGGGGAGCATTTCATCTCACTCTTTCACAGCCCACACACAAAACATATCGTCTAAATAAACAGAGAGAAAACAAAAACAATCGTTTCAACAAAAACTCCAGGAACTTCACAACTGTCGCACGTCGAGCTTCACTGCCTTGAAACGAACATCAGGCAACATCTTCCATCCGACGTGTCCAATCCCGCTGCCGATTTCCGCCTCAGTCCTTTCGTAGGACCGCGAATTCCTCTTGAGCCATTGTCGAAACACGGGTGTCCACTCCGGATTCGCGGGCCAATCATTCCGCAAAACGACAGCGTTGCGTCGCACGATGAATCGTCGTAAACTCGTCGCTGACGAGGCCATCAGAAGCAATGTACACGTCGACACCCGTTCCCGAATAACCAGGGTTTCCAGTTGCCGGCAACTCCGGCACAGCAACACCAGCATGGAGTCGAAGCGTTCGCTGAATTTCTTCGGGGACTGGAAATGCGGAGCGCCGACATGGCCGAAGGCTCTTAGGGTTTGCGAATAGTTCTCCACGACTGTCATCAATCCCCATGGAGAAATCTGCATCGACCGAGTGAGTAAAGAAATGCGATAAAGGGGATAGCATCTTGGGGGATACAGGATATGCAGTATAGCAGTATAAATTTCCTAAGAGTTATATTTTGCCTCGGCATTGATGTACGACTTCACCCCACCAAACACCTCATGTGAGAAGAATAAAATGCGAGGAATACATGTCAGAGGAGCACTTCAATATCCTCGTTTTTCGTGGGTTTACAGAATGTTGTGGAATAAGATGAATTTATGAAGAGGAATTTATGAGTGGAGTGGGTTCCTGCTTAACAAAAGACCAACTCATCACTAAACACTTCGACTCTCCCTATAAAAAAATTCAAACGTCCAGCAAATTTTAACACTTACTTTCCGGCAAGTATGATATGGGATACAGTGGGCCCCCATCTTATGTCATCAATCCGTTCCAGGATGAACATTGTAACATGGGGCCTTTGTAAGTTGAAAACCTATTTCCCTTAAGGTTACACTATAAAAAAATTTATTCGTTCCAGAAAAAAAATATTAAACTAAAATTACCTTTATAGTTCAACTTTTTGTCAGAAATTTTTGCTTATACTTCAGTAAAATCAGTATATTTTTAGAAGATGTTAAAAATAAAATCTTTGAAATAAGAGAATAGTATTTCACTTTTCAAGTTTTCTTCATCATTTCATCAAAACAAATTGAAAATTTGGGCAATTCTTCACGCATCTGTTGTGGAAGTATTGTACTTGCATCTGTTATCCGTTTCCCACAAAATTTTAGTTCCACATGCCCAAAATACCATGGATTTCATCGTTATAAAATTTTTTCAGGTCTCTGGGAGTTTTTTGTAATAAGATTTTCATTATATTTCTGTCGTATCATGAAACCCCGACGTAAGTTGGAGGTTTTTTTAATAAAATAAAAACGTCGTATGTTGAAACCGACGTGACTTGGACCCGTCGTAAGTCGGGGGCCCACTGTACATACTTCAAGTGGCTTTTGATATGACTTGATAGTCTGGAGCTGGAGGATGAGGAAATATTTTCCTGTTTCATTAACATTTAAATTCTCAAAAAAAAGTTTTGAGATCCTTTGTCTATAAGCAATCCCTCTTAGTATACACAGCCGTCGGGCGAGGTCGATCTTATTACAACACGAAGCACATCCAACCATTTTTCCACACGCATCTTCTTGCTGCAGTATAATTCGAAATTTTCCTCTTCATCGCGGGTGAAGATGGAATGTTTATGTTCGTGGGTTAATTTAGTTTTTTTCTTCCTTTTCTTTCGAATGTAATGTGAATAAATATATTGATTTACCCGAGAAGTTGGAGTTTCATAGATGACTGATGCTACCGGGGCACCGGGTTGCCAAATGTGGTCTCGCCGAACAGACGGGCCTTGAATCAACAAGTGCACCCTCAATTCAGGGTTGTTTCCGGCGCATTTTTTCCATGATTTCCGGTTCACCGGAGGAGCTTCTTCCGAGTGTTTATCCTGATAGATGATCAGGTCCCGCACCTTCGACGATCTGCCATGGATAAAGGAGGAAATGAAACTGAAGCTAAGGAATTAACGAAAACTCATTCCTTTTTTTTTCCTGGAGTGTACCTGTGAATTCGGAGCGAAAACGTCGCCATAATATTCATTCATTCAGAAAATCTTGACGTCCGTAGCCTAGTTTTTATCCTGCGGCTAAATTTTTTGTCAAAGAATAGAAAATTGTTCATGACCGTTAGCGAGCTTTGTCTCTTCGCTCGGGCTGTTTCATAAGACCCTGAGTTTAGATGGATCTGAAAGTGGATTAAAATAAATGCCGCAAAAGTTGGAAGTTTTCGGTAATTCTAAAGATTGAACAGCAAAACTTTCCGGACGCCAGTCAACAGCGAAAATAAATATTCAATTTTAAACCCTAGCTCTGGGCTTGAGAGACTTGAATGTTTCAAGCTCGGTAAATTGGTGTCAATCGATCTCAAGAAAAGAGCCATACACCTTGATTTAGCATGTAGTGTGTCAGAAAAACGCAATCGATGTTTTAGTTCTGGTTACTGTTAATTAAACAACTCTCATTACGAATTTTTTTTTTCAATCTGGAATTGCCTAAAAAGAGTTGGTGAATCAGCTTGCTATATTTTTATAACGTCGAAAAGTCATACGGCAAAGTCGAGTGAATTCATCTTTTTGTTCATTTAAATCAGTAAAGCATTTGTTTTTAAAGAATTAATACACCTCATACAGATTTTCAACTTGAATTACAGTGAAATCTCATTGCAACAAACTTTTGCAGGGACGTCGTCGGAAAAGTTTTTCATACTGAATAAATTTTTGAAAAATTTTCAAAATTATTGATGGGACAAAATCTGAACATCAGGCCTGCCTAAAATCAATCAGATCATCCTTTTTTGGCATTCTCAGATTTTTTTGTTTGTTTGAAAAACTAAGTAATACTCTGAAAAACATAACTCATGCATCATGCATTCCATCAGTGGCGCCAATCTCTTCATTTTGAGAGGATGATGTATGGAACCAGTTGGAAGCATGTTTGCCATTGATAGCAGCTCCCATCCAGACTAAATGAACCAGACAGTAATATTTCGGGTCAAATGTCAGAACAATTTTGGAAGAAATTTCAGACTGCGAGCCTGCCCTTGTCAGGAATTTTCTATCCAGAGAATCTATCAAAAATTTCTCAAAAAAGTGTCTTATACTGGAATTGGGAAGTTTGTTAATATGTGTTTGGTTTAACGTATACTCTGAGTTTTGTGCTGGAGTTTGGGGAAAAGTTTGCCATTCAAAAAAATAAATTGAAATGGTATTTGTTGTGAAGAGATTTTAATGTATTTTACAAAAAAATATTAAGTCTAACATGTTTCCACACGGACTAAAAAGAGAGTGGACTCAACTGCGCACCCGAGCAGAACGACGACCTCGTCGCCAATTGTGACAGGCGAGAGCCAAAGTTCTCTCAGGGCAACAAAAATGCCGACGTGCATCAAAGGACAGGGTTCTTTGGACACATTGACGAGTCTCAAGGTTCTCAATTTATGGCAGTTGCTGTAGCAAAGCTCGTCCAGAAGATGTCGAGCATCAGCGTTGTCCAAGAGCAGGTCGTTGAGTTCCAAGTTCTGCAGAGCTGGTAACGCATTCATAAATCTCTGGAATTAAAGAATTAAAAACATGGTACAGTAAAACGAATCAGAAGTTCTGAAAATAAATTTCGCTTCTCTCTCGGGCTACTTCAATTTTCAAATTATTGAAGAAAAGAGGAACTGAATTGCAAAAATCTGGAGGTGAATGGGTTCCCTTTCAAAGTTATTCTGTGGTTTAAATGCTTTTATGATGCAANAATAAAATAACAAAAATCAAGAACGGGAATATTTTAAGATGAAAAACAGATGAATTTCTTCCGGGAGTTTAGAAATCGGTGTCAGATTACACTTTTACGAGGAATGGTTTAAAAATATGGTCGATACTGTATTTAGTAGTGACATATTTGATTACTCTCGAAGTACTAAGAATTCTGAATCCTCCGAACTGCTGGTCGAACAAAAAAAACTGAAGCCTTTGTCAAGTTTTTGATTATTTTGGTCAATGTTTACGCTCCAATTGAACTTCAAGGGGGATCTACACATTCAACATCACCTCGCAAAAAATGATTGAAATTTGATTTTTAGACCAAAATACTATTCTCACCAACAATAAATTTCGATTATTTGAAAATTGTAAGACTTTTAGACTGCCGGCGAAATGATTAAACTCGCACAAAATAAAGGTAGAGTATTTATTTTTTATAACAATGACGAGAGCATTCTTCAATCTGAAAGTCCAAAAACCTGTGAGAACTAAGACTGGAACATACAGTACGTTAGGAAATTCTCAGTTACTACTTATCGTGAAATTGCTGCATTATTCCATTGAGACTTTTGCAGAACAAAGCACGGAACTGTCAAGACTTTTTAACTGTTCTCGGACGTGAAGCAGAAAGTAGTTCTGTGTTCTGATCCAATGTTTAGCCTCACTTACGTAAAATACGAATATGTTTTCATTTAATTTTTATTCGATTCAAACATTTCGTTTCTATGGAACTCACGCTCATCGTGTTCACCACGTACACTTATCCACATTCCCACTCTTTTTTTTCACTTGAAAATCAGTCAATCGGGATCAACGGAGGCTTCCGACTTCGTATCCCCCAAGATTCGCACGATTTCATGACAACAGAAACGTGGATACACACCAACAACACGAAATGGCTAACATTGTTTCGAATTAGAAACGAAAAAAAGGAAAAATAAATAGCGTCCGAGTCAAAACCCCCACTGATGGCAGACATGTTCGAGTTCCTTCACACGAACCTCGAGGTTCCAAAAATAAATATTTGGCTCGAGTCGGAACAGAGCTTCAAAAAATAAAATCGTGCTTTTTTTCTGTGTAAATTTTTGCGCATGACGAAAACTGAAGCGACATCTTTGCAGAATGAGAAAACAATCTGAGATTAAGTTTTAAAAGAATTGTTTGTTCATACCCGCATAAATCCAATAAGAAAATTGTTTTAACGTGATATCCAGATTTTTCTCTATTTTTTATTGACGTTGTTTTCTTCTGGCGATATGAAAATAAAACGCATCAGATACTTTTTCAAGATATTTGTAATAGCGTATTCAACGCATGAATTTGAGGAACGCGGGTTTTTTTATTTGAAAATTTTTTTCAGGCGAATTACTTCACCATTAAGGAGCATACAGGATATTCTCAGAAAAGTTTGTAGATCCAATAAAATTTCGGTCGAGAAATCTAACTACCCAGGTCTGCATTCGCGTGCCCCTGAATAATATTCGTCATATAGCAAGTAGACGAACTTATTGAAGTTTTTTTTTAATCTCGTGAAAATTGACTGAAAAAGAAATCTGTTCACACTCATGGTTTTATAATATAGCTGATGCTTCATTCAACGAACATGCGCGTCCTATTTTTATGACGCGAACAATGATTCCTTATTTACTCCAATACAGATCGGCATTTCCCTGAAATAATGTCTCAACTTTTTTCGAGATAGCAGTTGGAAGTTTCTAGAAAAAAAACGTGTGTCCATTTCCGAATTCTATTTGACTTTTTTTCGTTCATGATTGGGAACATTTTTCGTTCATCTTTTCGGGAAATGTTTTGGAAAATATATTTTTTGTTGGCAAAGTCAGCTGATAAAGGTCTGCAAATGTCAAATGGATTCATGCTTCTTTCAATTTTGACCGTTTTCATTTTAAAGTTGGATAGACTGCATATCACTTATTCTTTCTCAAGAATATTTAGAAGGAGTATCTATTACAGTAAGCTAATACAGTATTCAACAAAAGTCAAGTACTACATTCACGAAATGAACTGAAAAAAATCGGCACTATACTCTGAAGTAAAAATGCTGGCCAACTTTTAAAATGTATTTATTACCCGAAGGCAAGCGTATGTATAGGAGTCTCAAAATGTATGGGCTATCCGATCGCTGATAATTTTACGCAGAAAACGGTGCAAAGGTGCAGATTCATATAATATTTCATTCCACATTCTCTGTATTCTCCTTGAAAAAATTCAGAAAAAATACAATCATGCACTATTTATGGATGCATCTTGAAATAAAAGGCATCACAGAAGCCTGTACTTCAGGGAACTTTGATTCCAAACACCGACGCATTGTCCTGTGAAGTCCAGCATTTGTCCACGAGGACAAGTCATTTGCGAAGGCAGTCGAATCAGTCGACTGGTTCTCCCGAAACCCTTGGAAATGAAACCAAAAAAAAAACATTTTTCAACATTTTTGAAGAGAAGGAATTCTTGAAATTGCTTTAACTTCTTTCTTAGTAATCATCATCGTGCGAGGCGGCAGAGGATGATAAACACTCTTGATCATTTCCTGGATCATTTCCCGTTCTT